CCTTCCTGATCCACCTCCTGCTCCCAGTGATCCCTGGAGCCTCCTGATCCACCTCGTGCTGCCCGAGATCCCTGGATCCTTCCTGATCCACCTCCTGCTGCCCGAGATCCCTGGAGCCTCCTGATCCACCTCCTGCTGCCAGTGATCCCTGGATCCTTCCTGATCCACCTCCTGCTGCCCGAGATCCCTGGAGCCTCCTGATCCACCTCCTGCTGCCAGTGATCCCTGGAGCCTTCCTGATCCACACCTCACGCTCACGGATCCCCTGGAGCTGCCCAAGCAGCTGAAGGCCTGAAGAAACCCACCTGAGGACACTGAACCCTGCCTGTCCCCCAGCCCCAGAGAGCAGCCTCCACCCTGCCTGAGCACCCTGAGCCTGCCCCACCTGGCCCTTGTGCTGCTGGAAATCCTCCAGAGCTGCCCACACAGCTGGAAGCCCAAGAAACCTGCCCGAGGACAGTGGATCCTGCCTCCCCCTCACCACTGGACAGCAACTCCCACCCTGCCTGAGCACCCCAGAGCCTGCCTGAGGAGCCCCCATCTCTCAGAAGACCCCTCTTGAGTGGCCCCATGGGGTCTAAGCAGCTTTGCATGCTGCTGGAGCCCCCCCAAAACACGTTCAGTCCTCTGCTGCAGCTGCCAGACCCTGACTGTGACCTCCCTCCAAGCAGTTGCCTGCACTGGGGGGACCCCCCACCCCACCCCAGGGTGCCTCAGGGCTGAGACCCTCCCCCCAAGCTGCCAGGAACCCTGTCCTGCTCCTCCCTGGCCACGTCTGCTTATCCCTAGGTCTGACAACAGGAGGGAAGAAGAAAACAAGAGCACTGGCAACACCAAGATTCCCTCGCCAGGGTGGGCCAGGGGGTGGTCCTGCCCAGAGTGGGCACCTCTCCCTGTGCCTGTCCTGGCACAGACATCCCATCCCTTGGGCCTCCTGCCTCAGGGGGACAGAGATGTGTTTTGTTGGGGTTTTGTTAAGTAATAAATCAGTTGGTTTTGGTTTTTTTTCTGGTGAGTCTTCTGCCTGTGTGTGGCTCTTCTGGGGCCCCCAGCAGCTGTGGGCAGAGGAAGGATGATGGAAGGTGGTGCTGGGCTGCCCGGGGTCACCTCCTGCTCCTGCTGCCTTTCCTCAAGGTGTGTGGAGGGATCCAGGGTCTGGTTATTCCTGGGGATGAAGGGGACCTGGTCCTGTCTGCCCAGCTGCACCATGCCAGGCTGGTAGGGAATGTTCTGGGTAAAACCAGCACTGAGTGTTCCCACAGGACAGAGCTGTGCTCCTCCTGCCTCTGGCTTGAGTTGTGGGGAACATCCTAGAAGAGCCCCCAGAGCCTGGGGCTGTGCCAGGCAAGCAGACAAATGTGGGTACAGAGATTCCACAGTGTGTTTTCAGACGGTTAAAAACGGCCTCAGAGTCAGATACCAGAAAGAAGAAATACAAATTATTTTTCTTTCCAACACAATAACACTTTTTTTTTTTTTGTTTGGTACCAGAGAAAATTAGAAATACAGAACAAGTTCCTACCAGTGAGAGAAGGACGACCTAGAAATGAAGGACACTGAGATGTTGGAGAGCATGAGGGGGGCTGTGACAGCCCTGGGTGCAGAGCAGGAGCCCAGGCAGAGCTGCCCACGGGAGCCCTGTTGCCCACAGAGCCTGGAACAGCCTGTGGCAAACCAGTAAGGGAACCCCCTCTGCGAGCTGGGAGCAACTGGGTTTGCGTGGCCCTGCAGCGGGGTTGGAGCTGGGCTCAGCACAAGCCCTGCATCCCAAAATCCCATGGAAGCCCCTCAGAGCTGCCTCGGGGTGGCCTCTCTTTCCCATGGCATCGTGGTGGGATATGAGCAGCTCCCAAAAAGCCTTCCTGGGCTCCACCCACAGCAGCTGAACCAGTTCCCGGGGGGATCTGGAGCAGGGAGGCAGCGGGTGGGCTCACACTGTGGGAGAAGTTGGGGTGCAACCTGTGCCACAGGGGCTGGGAGCCCTGGGGTGCTTTCTCCATGGGGGGGGATCCTTGCACCCAAGGCAGGCAGGATTTGGGATGCTCCTTCAGGATATGTTAAGGTTGGTTTTGCTCCTCCCTGGCCACGTCTGCTTATCCCTACGTCTGAAAACAGGAGGGAAGAAGAAAACAAGAGCACTGGGAACACCAAGATTCCCTCGCCAGGGTGGGCCAGGGGGTGGTCCTGCCCAGGGTGGGCACCTCTCCCTGTGCCTGGCCCGGGCTGGGAGCCTCCAAAGAAACAGGAACACAAGATGGGAAAGGGAGGGGAGGCCACAGCATCCCAGTCCAGCTACTGGCTCCCCTCGGGGTCCGACATGTGGTTTTTCACCTGCAAGGAGAAGGGCACAGCGTGGCTGTTCCCGGCAGCAGGGGTGGCCCTGGCACCCTGCCCAGGGGTCCTGAACCCAGCTGGGGGGTGGGAGCAGCAGATTCCAGCCGCCGGGATGGTGAAGGGTCTGGGTGGGATGACTGATGAGGTGAGGTCACTGGGATTGTTCAGCTTGGAGGAGAGGCTGAGGGGTGGCCTCACTGCAGTCTGTGGCTTCCTCAGGAGGGGAAGAGATGGGGCAGGTCCTGATCTCTTCACTCCTGGGACCAGTGACAGGAGTGGGGGAAATGGCGGAAGCTGCATCAGGGCAGGTTTAGGTTGGGTATCAGGAAAAGGTTTTTCCCCCAGAGGGGGTTGAGCACTGGAACAAGCTCCCCAGGGCAGCGGTCACAGCACCAGGCCTGCCCGAGTTCCAGAAGCGTTTGGATGATGCTCTCAGGCCCATGGGGTGATTCTTGGGGTGCCCTACACAGGGACAGGAGTTGGCCTCGATGATCCTGATGGGTCCCTTCCCACTCAGCATGTTCTGTGATTCTCTTATCTACTCCAAGAGGCTCGTGCAGCCTGGGGGGTAACACGTTCCCGGGGGCACGGGTGGTGGATGCAGCCCTGACACACAGGAGGGACCCTGAGGGAGCTTCTCTGCTCCAGGGGTCCTGCAAGAGGGAAGGAATTCCAGGAGAGCAGAGAGTCCTGCAGAGGGTCTGGCTCTCTTACCATCTCCTCCGTGTCTGTGCTCTCCTCTGCGCTGTCGCTGTGCCCGTCGCCTCCCGTCCCCTCCTTCCCCCGGGGCCCCTCTGGGGATGGTGACTCTGGCCCCTGCTCTGCCCTCTTCTTCTCACTCTCCTTGGACCCTGCAAGGATGGAATCAGCAGAATTTGGTGGTACCTGTGCCAACATCAGCCCTGTCCTCACAGGGTCCCCTCGTCCCAAGGGCCAGCCCGGGAAAGGGGAAGGTGGGAAATTTGTCCTGATGGAGCAAGTCTGGCCAGTTCCTACAGGCTGCCCTGCAGTCTGCTCCCAGGGAACAAGTGACAGGATAAGGGGAAACGGCCTCAAGTTGTCCAGGGGAAGTTTAGGTTGGATCTTGGGAACAGTTTCTTCCCCCAAAGGGCTGTCAGGCCCTGGCCCAGGCTGCCCAGGGGGGAGTCCCCATCCCTGGAGGGGTTTCCAAGCCCTGTAGATGTGGAGCTGAGGGACACGGGGCAGTGGTGGCCTTGGCAGGGCTGGGGGAAGGGTTGGGCTTGGTGATCTTAAAGGTCTTTTCCAAGCAGACCCATGGAGTCTGTGGCAGGTGCAGGGCCTGTCCCCTCACCCGGGAGCCGCTCCCGGCGCTGGTCCATGCGCTCCAGGCCAGATTGTCCACCCGAGCCTTGATCTGGCTCAGCTCCCCCTTGATGGAGTGCAGCTCCTCTGCCCTCACTGCGGGGAGAGGACTCGTTAGCACCCCCTGCCACGGGAACACACCGGCCTGGGTAGCTACCTCCAGAGCATCCTCCCCTCCAGAGCATCCTCCCCTCCAGAGCATCCTCCTCTCTGGACCATCCTCCCCTCCAGAGCATCCTCCCCTCCAGAGCATCCTCCCCTCCAGAGCATCCTCCCCTCCAGAGCATCCTCCCCTCCAGAGCATCCTCCTCTCTAGACCATCCTCCCCTCCAGAGCATCCTCCCCTCCAGAGCATCCTCCCCTCCAGAGCATCCTCCCCTCCAGAGCATCCTCCTCTCTGGACCATCCTCCCCTCCAGAGCATCCTCCCCTCCAGAGCATCCTCCCCTCCAGAGCATCCTCCCCTCCAGAGCATCCTCCTCTCCAGAGCATCCTCCCCTCCAGAGCATCCTCCTCTCTGGACCATCCTCCTCTCCAGAGCATCCTCTTCTCCAGAGCATCCTCAGGGAACAGGGACACCAGGGCCAGGTGTCCCCTGGTGGGGCTGGGGATTCGTGGCACTGACACTAACACACCCAGACTGAGCCTTTTCCTTCCTACTCACACTTTGTCCGTCCTGCCGTGGAGCTGCTGCTGCTCCTGACCACAGACTGGGAAGGGATGGGGCTGGTTTTCCCTCCTCCTCCTGCTCCTCCTCCTCCTCCTCCTCCCCCGTGAGTCCTTCTGGCCTTGACAGGGATGCGGTTGATGAGAGGGGGGATCTTCTGGTACTCGTACACCCTGCCCAGGGCACAGGAACGTGGAGGTGTGAGCGTGACCTGGGAGGTGCCACAGCAGCCAGGAGAGGGTCCCTCTGTGGTGAAGGGACCCCCCCAAGGTGGGCATTGCCCACTGTCCCCTCCAGCCCACCCACCTCCCGGGACGCTGCTCACCCACCGGTACGGGAAGTCGTCCCTGTAGAGATCGTAGTCCAGCTGGCAGGAGCTGCTGCAGGGGGCAGAGAGGGGGACAGGGCAGAGGGTCAGCGTGGTTTGGGTGGGAAGGGACCTTCACAAGCCCAGTCCCACCTCCTGCAGTGAGCAGGGGTGTCTTGTGGAGAAGAGGAGGCTCCAGGGAGACTTTGGAGCACCTTCCAGTGCCTGAAGGGGCTCCAGGAAAGCTGGGGAGGGACTTGGGACAAGGGCAGGGAGGGAGAGGACAAGGGGGAAGGGATTAAAACTGGAGGAGGGAGATTGAGGTGAGACATGAGGAGGAAATTGTTTGGTGTGAGGGTGGTGAGAGCCTGGCCCAGGTTGCCCAGGGAAGCTGTGGCTGCCCCATCCCTGGCAGTGTTGAAGGGCAGGTTGGATGGGGCTTGGAGCAGCCTGGGCTGGTGGGAGGTGTCCCTGCCCATGCAGGGGGGTGGGACTGGATGGTCTTTAAGGTCCCTTCCAACCCAAACCAGCCTGGGATTCTGTGATCTTCAACCAGAGCAGGTTGCTCAGAACCCCATCCAACCTGCCCTGGAATGTTTCCAGGGATGGGGCACCTCCCACCTCTCTGGGCAACCTGGGCCAGGGTCTCACCACCCGCAGCATAAACAATTTCTTCCTTATCTCTAGTCTGACTCCCCTCTTTTTGTTTCCAACCATCACCCTGTGTCCTGGTGCTACAGGCCCTGCTAAAAGTCTGTCCCCATCTTTCTTATTGGCCCCCTTCAAGTCTTGAAAGGTCCCAAGAAGGTCTCCCTGGAGCCTTCTCTTCTCCAGGTTGAACACCCCAACTCTCCCAGCCTGGCGCTCCAGCCCTCTCATCATCTCTGGGGCCTCTTCTGGACTTGTTCCAACAGCTCCATGTCCCTCTTGTGCTGGGGACCCCAGAACTGGCCCCAGCCCTGCAGGGGGGTCTCACCAGCAGGGCCAGGGAGGGGCCTGTCCCCCTCTGCTCTGGTGAGAGAGGGGCCCCAGCACATGGTGCCAGCTCCTGGTGACCTTCTCCTCACCCAACACACCTAAGTCCTTCTCCTCAGGGCTGCTCTCACTCCCACCCCCCCCAGGCTGAACCCCTCACCTCTCCCAGCCTGTCCTCCCAGGAGAGATGCTGGAGGGGGGGGGATGGATGGATCCTCTGAGGCAGCAGGGGCAGGATTTGTGCTCAGGAAGCTGGGATTCCAGCACCCTGGTGTTCCATGTCATGGTCCCTGGCTCGGATTCCCGAGGGATCTGTCAGGGGATCCGCAGGGACCTGCCCCTCCTAAATCATGTGCCGCGGGGCAGGAGCAGGGGGAGGAGGAGGAGGAAGAGGAGGAGGAAAGATCCTGAAGCTCATTTTGCTGCTTCAGCTCTTGCGGAACCAGGGAGCGTGGGATGGAAGTGCAGGGAACTGTCCCCAGCTGTGCTGCTGGGAACTGGGGGGGCAGGACAGGGTTCCCTGGGGCTCCCCGTGTTCCCGTGGATGAGCCCATCACCGTGGAACCGATGCTGGAGCTCGGGGGGAGCTGAAGGTCTGTGGGGGGAGTAACAGGCCACCTGGGCTGCCCTGCCTGGGGCTACCAAGCCTGAGCCTGGCTTGCCCACCCCAGGAGGCAGCTTGGAGCCCAGCAAGGGGCAAAAGGGGTGTCAGGACCCTTCTTTGCACCCAGGGAGATTTTGGGAGCTTTCGGAGCAGCCTCCCAGGTTTCCAGGGCTGTGTGTCCTTCACATCCTCCCCTCTCACCCCTGGAGCAAAGTCACGACCTGCCTTGGGGAAGAGGGCAAGGGGGTGGTTGGAGATGGGTCCCAACTCACCCCCAGGGCAGGGGGAAGGTGCCAGTGCCCGTGGCTGCTGCCACCTGGAGCCACCACCCAGAGGGACAGGGATGGCACAGGCCACCTTCAGCCACTCCACAGGAGACCTGGTCTTGGGGCCTGGCACCCAGCTAAGGACACAGCAAAGGTTTTCCTGGCTCAGCTCTTCACTTGGAGCATCCCTTGGGAAGGGCACTGCCTTGCTGGAGGCCCGAGGGGCTGGCAGCCCCAGCCCTGGCAGCCCTGCATCCCTCCAGCTCCATGGCAACGGGCAGAGCAATTAGTTCAATCAGGGCGCTTGCAATAAGAGCTCTAACGAGGCAGATGGAGCCCAGCTCCTGTCCCCTCTTTGCCACACACCTGCCCAGCCAAAAGCACGTGGGGATGGGGACCTGTGCCCCTGCCACCATGGGTGCCACCATCACCATCATCTCCTGCCATCAGCAGGACCACCAGCACCTCCCCAGTGCCTCCAGAGGGGTCTGTCCCCAGGGGACAGCACTTCAAGGCCACAACTGCAACCAACATCAACCACGGGGCTCTCTGCTTCTCCTGGAGCCTTTGGAGGGGGAAGGTGGCATCTCCACACCCCACCAGCACAATCCAGATGGGACCAGTGAGGGCTCCAGCTGCCACTGGTGTGGCTGGGTGTTGCTCTGAGATCCCCAGGGGGATGGGGCAGGATCATCCCACCACAGCAGGGTTGTCCAAGGGGTGGACAAGAAGTGGAGGGCAGGGGGAGGAAGAGGAGCCAGGCGTGGGACAATCCCCAGCTCAAAGTGTCCCCCCCACCCCCTGTGCTGCCACTCACTGGTACAGGCTGCTGTGCTGCCTCTTCTGGCCCAGCCTGGCCCTGCTGGGCTTGGGTTCCCGGGCCATGTCCAAGTCTGAAGGGGAAGAGAGAAGAGGGGAATGGGTGCTGGGGAGGAAAGTGGGTGCCACGCTGTCCCACACGGACACATCTCCAGCACCAGGTTCTTGGGGGTTCCCCACCACACTCCTCCCCTGGCTGGAGGTGTCCTGCTCCACAGCATCCACAGGAGGAGCCCAGGCTGGCAGCTCTCTCTGGTTTAAGCTTGTGGAGAAGGACAGGAGCAGCCCAGGGTCGTGCCAGGACATGGAGCAGCTCTGGCTGTCCCTGCAGCAGCCCCTTCCCACGGGTGCCAGGTCCCCAGGAGCCCACAGGCCCCACGAGGGTGGCAGAAAACACCTCTGACAACGAGGGGCTTTAACCATCGGAGACATTTCCCAACCTCCCAGTGAATTTGTCTCTTCTCTGGAGACTTTCAAGACCCACCTGGATGTGCTTCTGTGTGACCTGCCCCAGGTGATTTTGCTCTGCCAGGAGGGCTGGACTTGATGATCTCCAGAGGTCCCTTCCAACCACCATCATTCTATGATTCTATCACCCCCACCAGGTGGTTGGGAGACCCCCAGGCCAGAGGGAAACTGGTGAGTGCTGCCCACCACGGATGGGTGCTGGGGATGGGGTACCCTGCACTCAACCCCTTCGTGCTCCTGAAGGCTCCTGAGACCCATGCAATGCAGAGATGCAGGTGGAGATGCCTCCAGATGCTCAGTGATGCCACATCCCACCTCCCTGGTGATGCTCTTCACCCCTCCTGAGGATTTCACAGCCAACATCCATATCAAAGCTGCCTTGAAACTGTTTTTATGGAATCCCAGACTGGTTTGAGTTGGAAGGGACCTTAAAGATCATCCAGTCCCACCCCCTGCATGGGCAGGGACACCTCCCACCAGCCCAGGCTGCTCCAAGCCCCATCCAACCTGCCCTTCAACACTGCCAGGGATGGGGCAGCCACAGCTTCCCTGGGCAACCTGGGCCAGGCTCTCACCACCCTCACACCAAAGAATTTCCTCCTCATGTCCAACCTAAATACATCTTCTTCCAGTTTTAATCCCTTCCCCCTCATCCCATCCCTCCCTGTACCAGTCCCCATTTCAGAGCCCCCAATGCCAACCTTTCCTGACACCTCCATATATTCAGTCGTGTAACCCTGGGGGGCTCCAAAGCTCCTCTGGCCCCTGGGGTAGGAGCTGGTGGGGGAGATGCTGAGGTCCCCTCTTGCACACCCCCCCTGGGCCGTGGTAAGCTTGACCAGCTGTTCCACAGGTGACACTGGGGATGTCACTGTACCAGGGAACCCTGAGATGAACCTCTGGGAACACACCAGCCCATCAGAGAGGTCTGGACCTCCCCAGGGGTGTGGGCACTGGCCACGGGTCCCCTTGAACCCCAGATCTGCCAGAGGAAGGTTCCCCACATCCCTGCAGAGGAGAGGGCTTCAGAGCAAGATCCCAGCAGAAGGAAACTGACTTTTTTTTGCTGTCACCTCGTGTGACAAAGTCCACGGGCTGGCTCTGACCTCGAGGAGCACTGGGCAAGGTGCTCCAGCCACCCTGTGTGCCCTGGGAAGAGCTGGTACCCACCTCCTGAGCCCGTCCTTGCCATCCCTCTCTGCAGCCACCTCTGTGCCACCCCCTGAGCCACCAGCTCCCCTCCCTGCCTGCAGGATGGAGCCCCCAGCAGGGACCCCAGCCCCTGCCAGGCACCCTCACTGGCTGCTGGCACCCAGGGGACCGTCCTGCTGGGGCAGGGGACACAGGGACAGGGCTCCCTGTGCCCCTGGGCTCCCTCCCCTGTCCCTTCCCAGTCTTGGAAGGACATCCCTGTCCTGGGGGTGTCATGGAATGGGGTCTTCCCAGTATTGGAAGGACATCCCTGTCCTGGGGGTCTCATGGAATGGGGTCTTCCCAGTATCAGAAGGACATCCCTGTCCTGGGGGTCTCATGGAATGGAGGGAATCCCAGTATCAGAAGGACATCCCTGTCCTGGGGGTCTCATGGAATGGAGGGAATCCCAGTTCTGGGAGGACACCCCTCTCCTGGGGACACGGTGTGGGGGGCATCCTCGTCCTGGAATGACACCCCTGTCCTGGAGGGGGGGCGGTAGGGCGGTGTGGGGAGGACCAGTCATCCCAGGAGCGGGAGGACACCCCGGGAGGACCGGTCCGGGGCTGGGGGGGGGTTTCGGTACCGGGGGGCGACCCC